AGGCCCGCCGGCCGGCTCGAAGGAAGGCTGGAGCTCGGCCAGGGACGGAGTGAGGAGGAGGGCATCGTTGAATTGCAGGGCGGCAACCAGGCTGGCCATGTCCAGCGGATGGCTGGCCCAGCGGGGGTCGATGGCTGGTTGAGGAAATGGGTCCGATGTGGTAATCTCCACAGTGCCGCGCGACAAAGGATGCATGATAGAGACCGTTAGGACTCCAGCGTTGTTATTGAGGATTTCATACGCTGGAGTAATGTTTTGTGACAGCCGAGGAAGGAGTGTGGAAAGCTGGACTTCATAGCCAAGTCGCAGCGACGCATCGTATGTCGACGGAAGATAAGCAGTCCAATTCTCTCGTCCTTGAGCGGCGGAGAGGAGATTGACTAGGTCTTCGCTTGTGGCAGGAGGAATTTGAGGCATGATCTGCTGCAGTGAAGGGAATGCAACGCCGCTGGATGGCATGCCTGTCCAGGGACCGGTTTTCGAGGTTCGATACTCATTGGCTGCCTCGTTGTTGAAGGTTGTATTGGTGTTACATTCATTGGGCGTCGTCAGAGATTGATTCTGGTCTGTATTTGACATAAGACATTGGGATTGCCCAAAAGGAGTATTTGACTTACAAGGGTAATTGACGTAAACCAGACAGTGGTCTTGAAGGTTTCTGCCGACGCCAGGAAGATCTTGGGCAACAGGTATATTAAGCGAGTTCAACAGAGCTGATGGACCGACCCCAGAAAGCTGCAGGAGTTGTGGTGTATGAATGGCTCCAGCCGCGAGAATGACCTCTCTGCGAGCAAGAACTGTTTGTCGAGGTGACGCGGCATCTGCAGCATACTAATGACGATCAGCACCATCCGGCCCTGGGAAGTCGAAAGCTTACCTCAACACCCGTAGCATGTAACGAAACATGGTCATTTTGTTGTCGTTGATTGTCGAAAAGTATGCGAGTAACATGAGAGTTCTGGAATACGTTGTAATTCCTCCTGCCCAAGAAGGGATCATAATATGTTCGTCGAGCATCTGATCGAGTCTGGTTATTCGGTTGGATATCAGAAGCGAGGAAGTATCCGCCAGCAGCAGTCCCTTCATCGGGATCATAGACAGTTGCGACGCCAAGTTGGTTCAGGGCGCGAAACCAGTTGTCTGTAGATAGAATGAGCTTGGTGACAGCAATGGTGGAGAATGTTTACCTGTCTGAGGCCAGTAATAATTCGGGTAACTGACTGAAACTGGACCATCACGTCCATGTACATCAGGAACAAAGGTAACAGGCTGCTGGGCTACACCTTCATAGAAGATCGGAGTAAAGGTTTCGGACTCGACCACAGAGTCAGTATGCTTCTACAGGGGAGATCGGCATGGATTACCTTCTTGAAATATGGTAGCAGATCATCCCAAGCCCAGCCAGGGTTCCCGAGAGATTGCCATGAGTTGTAGTCATCCTGGTTGCCACGATTCCACACCATACCGTTGATAATACTTCCGCCACCAACAGCTCTGCCGAGGGGTATTGGACGTGTAGCTCCGTCGAGCTGGGTTTGAAGAGTCGTTGTAATGTTCCAGTCGTAGATCGATCCAATATCGCGGCCAATAAACTGGGGAATCTGGATCGAGTCCTCATAGTGGTCACTGTTTACAGTCAGCCACTCAGTTGCACCTTTGGTGAGAAACAAAATACAATGGCCCAGCTTCAAGGCAGACGACAGACACGTTCTCATCTTCGGAAAGACGCATAGAGGTGACGAGTCCGGCGATGCCACAGCCCACAACAACATAGTCATAGGTAGCTGTTGCTGGAGTTTGAGGTAGGTCTTGAGCCGAAGAAGGCAGTGTGTACAGGAGCGCAAAGAGCAAAGATAGGTACAGCGCTATGGTAGCCATCCTGATTTGAAGTCGATGATGTTCGTTGATGTTGATGTTCTGATCAGGTATCTTTGGAAGAGTATGGTCGAAGCAGGATTCACCACAGACCTGAAGAGTGAAGAAGATAATAAGGTGCAGTTGTAAGAGTTCTGTCGTCACAAGCAACTATAAACAAGCAAGTAGATAATAGGTGAGGTGGATCACTGTAGAAAACTTTCCATCGCCAGATACGGAAAGTCCGTCACCTCCCTCACGTTTGTGCCTAGAAACACAACCCCAGCTCTCCAGTCTTCCTTGCTTAAGACCTGATACTGTCTGCGTGCCATATCGGTGCTGATTGGCGCCCACAGCATGATTTTTTCTCCAGAGATACAGTTTCCCACCCTCTTGCTTTTTTACAGGTCTTGCATGAATGGGTAAGGGTCTCCCGCTCAGAATCGTCAACTGAAGAAGCATGCAGTGAGCCTTCACGTTGCGTTGCATGGTCTTCTGGCCCCCAGCACTGCCAGAAGAGAGGTGTGCTCATTGTTTGAGCTGCCCTTGAAGAAGTCAGACAGTGTGTCCTCTTGCACTGTCCTCTTCCGCCAGCGAGATAGACGGCAGTTATACCGTGGCGGGCTATGGTATTCACGTCTCTTCCACGCCATCATCAACAGCAGCTTGATGGCAGCTCCAGTGGAAACCCGCGTGATGAGTGATGGCTGGTATTGGAGGTGAAGATATGTTCAAGAGGTCTACAGAGCACAACTACATGGAGGGAAAAAGTGTGATTCTAATGTTCCATGTGGCAGGTGGACCGAGCCGGCTATAGCCGCGGCTAAGCCAGGCTCAGGGAACAGAACAGAGCAGTCCAAGCCTCAACAGCCCACAATTGGGAAGGTCATGCAGCATTATCACCCAGGTTTGGGTTGTAAAACCTCATTTGAACATTCTTTGCACCCCCACAATGCACTTGCACCACCAACCATACCGAGCTTCCCTCACAAATCAATATTCTTGTCCGCAAGAGTTTCTTTGCCAACTCCAGTCAAGAGCCCTGTCCTAGGGCAGCTCCCCCTCTCCTTGGTAGATTCGGCAGACTCATTCTTCGACATTGATTTACTGGGTCATTTATGCAGCATAAGGTGAAGATCGAACGTACATGGTCTACAGATTAGGAGGCATACTGGGTTGTGGTATGTCGAAGGGTGTACTCTGCCCGCACAGTACATGCAGCTGTTTGTAGCAGGGCATGGGTGAAAGAGTATCCCAAGCACTTTCCATACCTCTCAGTGGCTGTGCCTGCAAGAAATGAATCGTGGACAACGGTACCTGAGTACTACACAGGGTGTTGGTAGTGTATAGCATACAAGTTCAGACATGGCCCTTGTTGGGTTTTCTGTGAGTATGCGACCTGAGCCTTTCGTGGTTCATACTCCTTCCGCATTTCTATGCTGGCGGTAACAGCAGTGAGGTTGTTAGTCCTGGCTTGCTCACTCTTGTAGCGTTTTCTCAGCTCCTGATGATGGCTGCTGCAGCCTTCTTCAAAACCGTCTAGGCGGAATGTTCCCTCTGCACATTGGCCCCGGTCATTTCGAGATTACGAGTCATACGTTCTGCACCGAACTCTTCCGTCGCAAGAGCTAATAGTAGATATGGTCGCTCCTGTCCAGAGAAAGGTAGTAGTGATCTGTAGTAAGAGGCATCGTCGCTGCAGCTTGAACTCCATAGATGAGCCATGGTATCCGAGGGACTTCCCTTCCAGTGCCCAGTTCGAATGCTAGACCCCAATGATACTGCTTGTACTTCGCACTCCCCAATTGAGTAGTCGATGATAGCTGCCCTTGTGGGCGCACAGGGCATCATCACGGAAAAAGAATACTCCTGAAGGATCTGTGTACTTTTCACATGATGTAAGGCATGAGAATGAGCATCTTGCTTTGTCAGTATTGAAATACCGAACAAGGACACACTCCAGTGAACATGGGAGCAAGTTCTACAAAGACCAGCCAAGAATAAGGAAAGGAGCATGTGCTTGCGCAAGGACCTTTTGTCTGGTTCAACACAGCTTTCCAGGTCACTGCATGCAAAGGCGAATACCAAATTGTAAACAGCAGCCATAACATCTCCACATCTTGAAGACCCGACACAGATACGACATATGGTATAGGACCAAATATGGACAACAGATCAGTGTGCCGCAATTCATAGGTTGAATCCCCCATGTTTTGCAGCTTCAGCAAATCGCCACAGACCAGCCTCCCTTGCAGCCTTCGTGACAGCACCCACCTCATCCGCTGTAGCTGCTCGGTTGATGTCTGCATATCTCACCTCCTCACTCATACTTCTAGGCTGAGACGGACCCCTTTTCTTCTTGCCGACATGAGCATCAGGATGATACTGCTCCATAATATTGACAAAAGTATCCTTAGATATGCTCTGAGCTAGCCACTTCATGATTGCAACTCCTTCATCCTCTTTTCCGGGCATCACCAGATGCCTTACTAGCAAGCCCTTCTTCGCAATACCGTCGCCCGTGAAAGTGAGGTCTCCTACCTGCTTGTACATGGCCTTGATACTTTCCATCGCTGTCTCTGTGTAATTGACTGCCTTGAGCAATCGCTTGCTTGTTTCTTTGTGCCATGCTTTTAGATCGGGCAAGTATACGTCAACCAGTCCGTCCATCAGCTCTAGGGAATCGAGAGAATCGAAGGCTGACGTGTTATAAATGATCGGAACTTTGAGACCTATCTCACGTCCTTGTAGTATAGCAAGGGCCACTTGCGGAACAACATGTTCCGGTGTAACAAAGTTGATATTATGCACTTTTCCCACATCTTGCAGTTTGATCATCCAGTCAGCAAGATCTTCTGGGGTTAGGTCGAATCCTTTCCTTTGATGTGCAATGTCATGGTTCTGGCAGAAAACGCATCGTAAATTGCAGCCGGAGAAGAAGATGCTGCCACTACCATTATGGCCCTGTATGCAGGGCTCCTCCCCGAAGTGAGGGCTGATAACGTTCACTTTGACAGTTTCGGCGCCGATGAGGCAGAAGCCAGATCTCTCATATCGATTGACGCTACAAAGACGCGGACAAAGATTGCAATGCCGCAAATGAGCATAAGCTAGAGATCGTTTGTGAGAGGCGTCCACAGAAGACAGCAGGTGATATCGAGGAATGTACTCATCAACAAGGAAAGGCGGCGCAAGGTGAAGCTGTCGACTTGCTCTTGCAACAGTCCTGCGTTGTAACCCTGCTCTTGGGGGAGCAATTATCTTCCCGAGCATATCTCGAGGTCCACATAGCTGATTGAGCAAGCTTGCGGTGGCTGAACTGCCTATGGGAAGTATAGCGAGGTTGGAGGAAACGGGATTGCCGCTTGGCAGGCAATATCCGGATAGATTAGGGTGGCACAGTCAACAGTGCTATTCACTTATCAATATGTATCACTAAATTTGTTCCTGACTCTCACCTGAAGGTTGATGCCCAAGACGTCACACAGCCATCCATGGTCGCTGCTTCAACACCAATGTTGACCGCTACAAATTTGTATCTGCCGTTGTTGATCATCACTGCAAAACTCCACCTGACACAATTTTGACCAAGCTCTGCCAATTCATTCTTATTGCGAAAATCCTCGATTCGAAGCGCTCTCAACACCAATAGCCGTCATGGCGTCCTCGAACACTCAATTGCTTTAGTTAGGGATCTCACTCACGAGACAGCATCACGAATCATCGCTAACCTCTTCGTTTCCTATAGCGCCTGTATTGCTCATGGTAACACAATCCTCACTGAACACACCTCGCCAGGCGCCTCCTCAACTTCCGCCTCATCCTTAGCATCCCTGATCCTCCCCAAGATCTCCCATTCTTCACCGCAGAAGCTCACCTACACCCATGATCGACTGTTTGTACACTACATTGCAGACTCTCCATCATCATCATCCAACGCGCCAGATGAAGAGCTCTCTAGCCACGCTGCTCTTACATATTTGACTGTGGCGCAGGCTGATGTTGGACGCCGGATTCCGTTTGCATTTCTACTAGAATTGAAGAAGAAGTTCTTGGCCCAGTATCCGCCCGAGAATACAAACTTTCAAGCACTACCACCATATGGCTCTGCAGCCTTCAACACCACCCTGAGGTCAATGCTCAGTACCTACAACACTGCGCCACCTGCAGATGCACTCAGCAATGCTAAACGAGAGATTGATGATGTGAAGCATATCATGACTGAGAATATCGAAAGAGTGCTGGAAAGAGGCGAGAGGATCGATCTTCTGGTGGACAAGACCGACAGATTGGGAGGTAGCGCAAGGGATTTCCGAGTCAGAAGCCGCGGCTTGCGGAGGCAGATGTGGTGGAAAAACGTCAAGATCATGGTGCTCCTCTGCGTCGTTGTCGTCTTTTTGATGTACCTCTTTGTAGGTATGGGTTGTGGTCTACCAGCTTGGGGGAAGTGCGTTGGCTAGAAGGGTCACTGCTCATGGTGTCATTATCTCTCGAGGTTTGCTCCGAGGAGACTGTATAACTATTCGACATCGGAGATGGACACTGCCATAATATCAATCCTGAAGTACTGTCCCGTGAGGGCATAAATTGTGAACCTATTGTTCAGTATCCCGATGTTGGTACGGCAAAGCCACCAGCATCGTGGGGACTTGTCTGAGAAAGGGAATGCCCAGGCGCTAAGGTATAAGAAATGCTAAACTCACTTGCTCATCACCAACTCTACATCATTCCTTCGAGGTCCAAAGCATCCTCTTATGGTTGACGAGCCCGTGAATAGGGGTGGACGCATCACAGGTTTGCAACAATCCAAATGGTGATCTCTCTCCTCTGCACGCAGTGGCACAGCAGGAAGCAGGGGATGCGACCAATCAGCTTGGAGGACAAACCCCACTTAGCGAGCAGGCAGCCATGCCTTGAGGCTGAGCAGGATGCCTCACAGAATTTCCCTTTCTCATTGTCGAGGGCTCATTTACCATCCCGTTGTTTGTGGTTGTTTGTTGTTGCTGAGAGCATGGTAGAAGTCTACTGTCTCTTCATTTCTCTTCACTTCACAAGTCTTTATCTCACTATGAAGTGAGTTACGTAGAAGTGAATTCTCCTTATCATAACATAACATCACTCCACTTGTCCTCACCCAGTCTGGCTTGATCACGCTGTTACATGTTCTTGTCCAAACACATTATTGTTCACGTTCGTACTCAACAGAGTCGTCTGCTCCTCACCAAGATCTTTGTGCTTTCTCTAAGAAGTCCTACCCAACACATTCAACACGATGCATGCGAGTGAGGATGAGGATGCTGAGCTCAGAAATGCTCTGTACCGATCAGCTCTTGAATCTTCCAAATTTGGGCCGCTTGGCCACCTATGCATGGAACCACTCCCCCAAGAGCTGGAATCAGTAGTGCTATATCGGAGTGTTGAACTGGCACGACTTTGGGGGCATGACACAGACACATTGGTCTTCATAGGTGCACCTCCAAAGCAGCCTGATCAGGCGGCTGAAGCATATGGGCGTATTGCAGCACATTTTGTCCGTGCTCATAGAATTCACAGCAAGAACGTGCTCAACTTAGGTTCGGAAAAGCTTGGAGGGCTGCTTGCACCAACCTCTCAATTTCGGACCGAGCGTCGTCTTAAGAACCAACGTCTCTTACTGGGCGGGAGACCATCTGGCATCAAATATTTGCTTGACTTACGACCCCCCATTGAAGGCGAGGAAGCACTAGTCCTAGTTACTGAACTCAGCTGTTCGAGCGGCGTTTTGAGCTGGTTCAAAGCTCAACAGAAGTATGGCATTCCTAGAACCATGGTATGTGGTCAAGATGATATAGCGCTATTGCCATTGCCAAAGCCGTCAACCCGTGTCAACTATCGTGATCAACATCCAGAACCTCGGAAGAAGAAGTTGCATACTACCCAACAGCCACACGGAGACCCATCGCTCACGGAGCCACAAGAGGACGATGCACCAAGCCAGGACAAGGAACCAAAACGGAGTCGCATTGGCAATTGGGAGGGTATATTTCCTACGGCGCCACCAATTCTTGACGAAGCTGTCAACAACCAAGCAGAATCTGATCCTACTGCGAATGCTAATACCGATAGAGAGCCTTCAGGACCTGGCACAGATTCGGGGATAAATGCGACGTCAGAAGAGCAAGCCCAGGTACAGCCTGAATACTCTCAGCTCCGGCATTGGTCTTCAATAGAACGGCTGCTTCATGCAATCGAGGGCAATGATCCAATGTTAGACTCCGCACCTAAATTATGGAATTTCGTCTCTATGGCCAAGTTTTTTGGATGTGCCAGCAATGAGCGTATCAGTGGGTGGGTTACGAAGTGGTTGTTCACAGCCCCCAATCACAATTTCATACAGTGCAACCCAGAGATCTGCTATCGCATTGGCCTTGATATTCAGTCTGAAGCTTTGCTCAAAGATGCTTTCTCCATACTTGTAGGAGAAAAGGCCTTGATTAACGTGCATCACGAACATTCAGCAGTCCGGAGCCTAAACATACAGAGCTCTGTCGCTGGTCGCAGGCTTGAGCTGCTTGATGATGACGACGTTAACCGCATTGACCACGCTGCAAACATCTTCATAAAGCGGATCCAGTCAACCTATGAGGCACTAATTGGACAAGATATGCACTGGCTGGAGCAGTCCACCGTCTTTAGCATTCTTGCAAACTTCGTTGCACATTCCAATCGCGAGAAACAGATTGCTCAGCAGTTGAAAGAACAAATCAAGACCTTCGTGCGAGCAAGAGTGCTATGGGTCTTGGCACGGAACTACGAAGGTGACATGCCGGAAATGGAACAGGCCCCGGAGAGTGTCCGGCCTTTCTATCCCCACGCTTCTGCTCAATTCTCCAGATACACCGAGCTCGGCGAAGAAGAACGCATTTTTTCTCGTTTCTTCTGGCTGGCACTTAGAAAAGAGGATTTTGAAGTGGGTGATAACGCTGTCTTTACTCTTCCCCTGATTCGAAATGGCTCTAGCTTACAAGGCGTGCCGTGTCCGGGATGGAGCAGCTTGGCTAGAAATTTACAAGGCGGCTCCACCAAAAACAAGTTGATCCCGATTGAAAGGGATAAGCTGTGTGCGTCAGCTGCCAGCTTCATGAAAATCCTCAATGAACGGTATTGGAAGGGACGTTCAAAACAAAAGGATCACGGTAGCTTCTTGAACAAAATCCTGCACCCTCAGCGGCAAAATGCAAACAGTATACCCACTGAAGCACAGCCAAGAACGCCATTCTGCCAAGCTTTGCCGGATGAAGAGATCGAGTTTGACAACCGCGCATCAACCTCTGCTATGCAGCATTTCGAGGACTTACACCTGTCAAGCCCAAAGCGAGCCCGTGCAACAGACCCTATGAGACACCCTACTGAAGAAAAACGAACTCGACTGGATGTCTATGGTATGCTTGGCAGAAGCGACCAGACGAACAACAAGCAAACAGACCTTCCTATTCGTGTTGCCGTACCTCAAGGCATGAGCAACGCAATGCCAGTAGAGGGACCGAGGTTGATGAAAGTAGCCCAGTGGCAGGCTGTGGAAAGCCCAGAAGCACATGAGCCCCGATTTGCATACGTGGAGACGGAAGTCTCTATCAATGATAGCAGCCCAGCATCTGACGAGAAGACTGATGCATGGCAACCTCTATTCGAGGAGCCAGCTCACGTGAGAACATTGAAAGAGAAGGGACCCGAGAGACCCAATGGCCCAGACTACTACGACGAGCATTCTTTCCCGATCGAGAAACTGCTGAACGAAGTCACGCAGGCCGTAAGTAGGATTTGTGATGAGGTACTACTGGCCCCGCACTTCTTTCAGGACGATGAAATTCCTCCCACGGATCTCATTGACAGCTTGATGAGTCTTACCGATGATGAGTGGAAATATCTCCCTCTTTGGGCGGGTGGATGTGATGATGGCAGCGGTGGGGTGTTCAATGACCTGGAACCACCAATTCTTGAGGCAGGAGGATTTGATGGTGGCACACGTGGATTAGGATGTAGTAGGGAGAGCTCTGCTATCGGCAGCAGCAGCAGCTGGAGTGAGATTATCAGTACGGTCGGCAAAGCCTCTAAGGAGGCGGTTGATGGTACAGCGACCGAGACTGCCACCGTCCGAAGTCTAGATGATGTCGATATGGATGTGAGATCGCTGGATGATGAGTCGAGTACGCGGCAGCGGGAGACGGAAACGATGGAGAGCATGGGCTTTTCCTCGGCTTACGACCTTGATGCCAACGACAATATTGAGAACCCGGACTCCAACAATGACGATGTTGATCTCGAAGAGCCTGAATGGTATGATTGCGATATGTGAAGAGTGGTGAACAAGAACATACAGGAAGGCTGTTTTCAACTTCAGGTACAAGGCGTTCGGTGTTGGTCGGCAACAGGAAAGAGCCATGACAAAAGCATGTCAGAAGTCAGGCTGTGCAAGATTGTTGTGGAGGCATCCAGCCGGAGTAGTTCAACAAGATTCAATTACAATTTTGACACAATTTTCTTTCTCTACCTTAAGAGTAGACCAGAGATGCTAACGGCAAGCTTCTTGGGTTGAATTGACCAGGTATTCCTGCTGATGAGTGTGTGTGCTTGCTAAATATTGCAGAAGCTGATATGTTCAAGTCTCATCCCCTGGAGTTTACTTGATGCCTGTAAATACGTTGTCCTCTGTTCCATTGAAGCTGCAAGGACAGGGGTGATAATGCGTTCGGCAGCACGCCACATGCAAGATAGATCTCACCTTGATTGAGTTCTTGATTGACCTGTCTGCAATCTGCAGGAGGACTGCAGGAAGTGTCTTGACCTCAAGGGGTTAAGGGTGCGCAGGAGACTGATCTACTAACTATAGCTCATTGCACATCTTTCCACTGGAGCTACGGAGTCGACTACAAGCCGTCAACTATCTAACTTGACCCAGGAGCCGAATGAGCGGACCGCTGCTCTGTGAACGATCCGAACGTCGGATCCAAGATCCCAGATACCAGGTCCCAGATCCGATCTCGCATCCACCTCGAAAGGATATTTAGTGCTCATCATGCACTAGGATAGAATGCTACTCACTACTGTGGATGGATTGGGAAGAACATTCAGCGCACACCGACCTTTCAACAGGTACCTACGTACATAGTAGTACGCCACAAATCATTCTTTGCCGGCGCGGGAGTCGGAGAATTACCATGATCCCAGGCCCAAAGTGCTTAAGGTTGCGCCCCAACTGTACTCGAGTACTCCGTACTAAGTAGTACGGGCGATCTCCACTAGTATTTTCCCGGGTAAACCCTTTCTGTACAGAACAGCTATGCTCAAAAAAAGGTTAGATGTAATGACTTGACTGATCCGAATGGATGCACACAGAGCAGCTCTACAGTGACGGATCATAACACTGTGTCTCTTTAATAAGAACTAGCTGCTCTTAGCACCAGACTAACATTGCCTCAGGCCACCCCTGTAACACTAGTATGGTATTTAGCGAAAGTAATGTGGGTGGGGTGGCTCAGAGGACTATGTATTACTATTACGGATACATGATCTTCCTAAAAGTGATGAGAACAACTAAACGCCAATCAAATCAGAATGACACTAAAGTATAAAGTGTTGAATTAGGAAACCTTAGAAGTCCTTAGAAGTAAGTATATCTCATGATGGCCTGGAGACAGTGTAGAAACAGATATGTACTGCGTACTCCGTAGAGGTGGTATTATTTCGCCTTATGACATAATTTACTAGTGCCCCACCGACATTACTTTGGCCAGACACCATAGTAGTTAGATCCAGCTGGAGTGGTCACACAACTTGTCATCCCTGGGACGATCACCGACCTACTCAGAGTACGCTGGTACCCTGTCCCATGTTTTGCTTACGTGTAAAGCGATCAAGTATGGCATGTCAATTGCGCTGAATTGCGCTGAATCACGCTGAAGCACGCTGAAGCACGCTGTAGCCTTCTCCTCTTTCTGCTGGTGGTGGACAACAATCAAATCATCAGTTAGGCACTGAGAATGATGCCCTGTGAAAAAGGTTCGTCATGCCTGCTCCTGTGTGGTTGCATGTGGCTTGCGTGGCGTGTGAGCCGCTTGATTGATTCACTAAATTACTGGATTTGATGAGCAGCTGTCTGGCTGTGCTGGGTTAGCTGGACCACGCCCCAGCAACTCAAAGTATATTTTGTGAGCTACTAGGGAGTAGTAGTTAACTATTCGTTCTCCATCTGCCTTGTCACGAGCTCACCGCTCACCACTGGCCAGCCCACCACCCTGGCTGTGCCTTTTCGCCCTGCATTATTAGTACTACCCTTGTTTCTGATTGTTTCGTCCCAAATTCCACCCCGCACAATCTCATGGCATCTCGTAACAGCGGTACTACTTCTACGGAGTACATCGTTCCTTTGTTTTAGCCCTGGTCATAGTTAGATTGGATATCGTCTTTTTTGATTCTTGAACCATCACCTGGTTCTTCAGATTAGAGCCGGCAAGGGACGTCCTAATTTAGTCCCGGCTGTCCACGTCATGTGTTTCAAGACATGTTATGCAATACGCGATTCATCACATTTCTCTACTGCTCTCTGTCTGTCTTTCCACAGCCAGGTGATCAATGGAGTCAGGATTTAAGAGATTCTTTCTGCGCAAGAAGAGCAAGAGTAAGCTGGACTTGACCAAAACACCACCTCTAAACACTTTGCTGCAGACTGCCAGATATGACGAATTTGCTGCCGGGCCAGCTCCTACTGTTGGCGCTCGGCCAATCAAGCCTTCCCAGAAGGGCATGAGGCGAAAATCTTTCTCGCATCTCAGGGCGAAGAGCGTCGGGGCACGGGAGGCCAGGCAGCTGGGGCACAGCAACTCAGATGCACGGCCGCGAACAGCACCCAACATCCAGCCGCCTCTTCTGAACGGGTTAGATCCTTCAAACTCCAGCTACCAAAGTGGCATATCCCAAAATGAGACTCTTGTGCGATCTGAAAGTATGCAAACACCACCAAACGTTCCCGAACTGCCAAAAGCCTCAGCTGAGATGCGAGGGCCAAAATACTCCGACCTGCTTCAGGCTGCTGTTTTTGCGTCCAAGACAAAATTACCATCTGAAGCCAAGCGAACGTCATTTGATCGTTACAATGAGAGTATTGCAAGTCGGAACTCGAGGTACGCCGGACCACCAGCAATATTAAAGAACAAAGGTGTTGTCCGAGATCCCCCAACCCATAGAGACAAGAGTGCTCCTCTTACAGACAGCGTGGACACACACGGCGCTAGCTTTGGGGCTATGAGGGCATCCCGTGATGCCAAAAACCCGAGAACTCATGCAGCCGCTGGAAGACCTGGCACAGGTATGCCACAAGCTTCTGCTGCGAAAGTCAACGATATTGTCCCTGCAGCCACTGCGAATAACGCAGAAAGGGAGGGCCCGCTAAAGCCTGGATCCGGAAGCCCCCAGGACATCGTGCCTCCACTGACACCTAGTGAAAGTCGCCGATCGAAGAGGAAAAGCATCAGACAGACTGATCTTTCGTCACAATTAGCACCAGCTTTACCAGGGCAACCAGCGCCTTTAGTGCCTCTACTAGATCCTTCTGCTCGTCTTGCCACTCGCAAGAGATCCAAGACACTACCAGACCCTGCAAGGCAAGATAATGTCCCGGACTGGCGCCGAATTGGAAAGCCAGCCATACTCACTCTCAAACCATTTGAAGCTGGCTCGGGCGAGTTGGCAGCCGCTGATAGCACGCTCGATTCCTCTATCTCGCCTGGCGTGAGTAGTACTCAACCGAACATCACCATCGAGGACCTGGTGTCCACTCCTCAGCCTTTGGATGTCACCTCGGCTGACGTGCCTCCACGCGTGAGCTCTAACAGATCGAGGCGGAAACGCGACAAGGACAAAGACCATTCTCGTGATCTTGTGGGGGGACCGAGAAACAAGGTTTCAGAGGTAGTGCTTCGCGTCAGAAGCGCAAGCCAGGAGAAAGCCACCCCTTCAAGGGAATTAATGGACCTGACAGCTGATGGTCCTGCTAGAAAGGCAGAAGATGTGAACCAGAATGATTACGACAATGACAGAGAGGAGACCATAGCTCCAAAGGCGGACCCGCTGCAGGCTTTGCGAGCTTCTGTGGTCTCTGCAAACAGCTATATACAGAGGGGGGGAGACGATGTGATGCTCGAAGAGATCCTGCATCACCGTCCCAGCCAAAGTCAGCCTCAACACGAAATCGACAGCCACCCTTCGACGCCTGGTGACGTCCATTTAGGTGCCCAACCTGACAAGAAAGACGAGACTTCTCCTGCCGTCGACTCACACTCGCCAACAGGAACCACTGCTCTGAACCCAGCTTTACAGCCTCCCGCTCTTCACTTAGATGTGACTCCGAGTGATTCCAGACCTGCGAAACCTCCACTCAAGCCGTCTGCCGCCAATGCTTCACCCAAAGTTTCTCAGCAAGAGCCAGCTCTCGGGAGGACGAATTTGCCAATTTCAACACACCGCGAAACATCTTTCTCCTCGGAGGACATTTTACCGCGTGCCGAAGCCGACACAACACAGCATCCTTCATCGACACAAGCTATTGCCAAGGCGCCTTCCACAAATTCACCCAGCAATAATGACTCAGCAGCAGTTCTCCAGCGCCATGAAGATATCACACCCCCTAGCAGCATGGAGGATAGAGTCCCAGCAATCCTTACCCGAGATTTTGCTCCTTCCCAAGTACCGCCACGGGGCCGCGCTGGGGAAGTTATTGGCGGACCTCAATCAACCGTGGCTCATGAACTCTGTACCCAGAAGCCGGAGCAGAACAGAAGCAGTCGACGAGGAGGTTCCACACACATTGGACAAGCGGAGCTCGGAAGTCAACTTTCTGAGCTTGACCGCTCATTTGCAGCCAAAAAGCAAGCCGCTGCCGAAGCGCTGCTTAAACTACAAGCGTTAATGGCCATGCCGACTTGGGACGAGACTAGCACCATTGACAGCCTCAGGGAGTCTACAAAAATGCCCAGCCATTGGCGAAACCTGTCGATTGAGGACGGTAGTCCTGTTGCACCAAGTGACATCTTCAAAAGGGTAAAGATGCCTATCCTATCACCACCACTCTCCCGACATTCAACCCTTTCGAGTCAACAGGGGCGAGGCGTCAGAGAAAATCCTGAGAGACCGATGAATGGAAGAGCGGAGGGGACTTCGACTGCCCCTCCCGATGCAGATCTGGGTAACGTATCGTCCATCCAAGTGCAGGAAGAGCATGTCATTACGAGCACAGTACCACTAGAGTCATCCGAACAACTTCAGAACAAGCGGAGGGGCAGGAGCGACACAGCTTCCTCTCACGCGAGGGGATCTCATTCGCGGATGGGCAGTATGGTGTCAGCTATGAGTGGGACGAGTGCACATAGCCTGCCTTACCACATGGTCCCAGCCAGAAGCAGCAGTATGAGGGACAGTGATAGCGGCGCTGGCGATGTGGGCGAGTCGCCGAAGTTTCGTGTTGGGGAGCTTGGATGGCATTGAACCAGTATTACACGCACAGCATATTCCACATTCGAAGTTCTGATTTAGAGCATCACGGGCGCAAGCCCTCTTGCAAGGTTACCCATTTAAACGTCCTTGCAGATCCCTATCCGCGTCAGACACCAGGATTTCACCTTGCAGCGGGTAGCATAGACTCTTGGAATTATACTCGTAGCTTCTTTTTTGCATAGATGATAGCTGCAAGACGTTAAGGAATATTAGTGTGTGCCAAGTGAAGTGGAGCTTACTTACTATTAGTATGCAGGATTTTACGGTACGGACTACGGAGTAGATCTTTCGAGATTCCCCTTCCCCAGACTGCCACAGGTAGAGTACCCGACTGGCCTCTCCGCAATCTTGAAACTCCTCCCTGTAACCTGCTTCGGAAGTTTTGCTTTTCCCAAGGACCTTTAGGCAACATGAAACATACTGGTTTGATGGCCTACACGTCTCTCCCTGCTAGCACCATTACTACCCAAAAGAATCCACCCCAGGGGTAGGACTGCTTCGAAGCCCGTTGCAGTGATGTCGTATCTGTACTACAATCCTACAACACCATAGAGACAATCAAGCTAAAGCAAGATCTTCTGACGCATTTTACGTCCGGCTCCCCGCGAGAATTTTTGGGGCGTTTCACATTGCTTAGGTCAAATTGCTCAGATCACATACACAGGCCTATCATTCATATTGACTGACTGGATTGCCGTTGTCAGCAAATAAAAGCTCCTTCCACTGTCAGTGTGTTCCTGGTTGCTTCCAGACATATCTCTTGATATTGTTTCTTTCCCCCCAACTCTTCTGCTGTAATGTGTATGCTCTTGGTTTATAAATTCTGTACTCACTTACAGAACACCAGCCCTCCGAATGCGAAATTCATCCCGTGCAAGCATCACCCACGACTTGTAATAGAGGCTCAATCCGGTGGACCGCACTCTATTCAAGAAAAACGGCTTTCGAATCACCTGGAGTGTAAGTTTTCGATTTTTGCCATCATCTGTCGCAGCAACGAGATTGACGGCTACACAGACTGTTTTCGAAATGCACAAACAGTGGTAGTGCATGTCGGCCACGTACTGCCTCCTGGAACTTGTGTTCCTGACCCCTCGTTGGCTGTGGGTGTCAAGGGCGGCGCCGGTCAAGGTGGTGCTAGCTCGTCAAAACTGTGAGTGCTTTGCTGTGCCTACGTAGTAAGCTACTTAACGTATCCTGGCACTGATTAGGGCAGTAGTTACTTTCGGCGATGTGATGGGTTCTATGTCGATGTTAATGGGGAACCCTTGCCTACACAGAGGGAAGCGTACCAAGCCGCTCAGCAGGCGCAGCAGCGGTCGACGCAGCAGCGTTCTCCTCAACCAGGTCCAGTCCAGCAGGATCCTCTCCCGCAGAATCCACCACCGCAGGCTCCGCCCAATCAAGACCGAGGCTCGATGACAGGTTCCCAAATCTTACCAGAAGAGCGCCAGGAAATCTGTCAACCGACCTCGGGCCTAACCCAGCAACGTTCTTCCTCGCAAAGTCCGCCCCGGGAAGCCGCTCAGCAGCAAAAGCAAGAGCGATCACGTCAAGGCCAGCAGCGCCAGCGTTGAACGGAGGTACAATGTCCTCAATTGCTGTTGCCTGAAGCAGATCAAGCACTTATATCTTGGATATGTGTGCAGTAGACGACGAGGAAGCCTTTAGAACAGTGTACAGAGTGTCAACTGTGGGTTGTCGTTCTTGAAGGGTGCTCCACTTGACTATAGTAATCGGGCTTAAGAGCTGCGAGACAGCGAATATGTAGACAGGTCACCCAAACCACAGCCTATGTCCATCTCCATTGAATCCAGCCCCTGTTGAAGCCTACCAAGTTACTGACGGTTTCTCGCGCTGTGTACATCGCTGTGCACGCTATAGATTGTCGTTTTACTAGTACACATCTTTCACTTCCTTCCAAAGTCCCCCGTCGTCCTGCTCACTTTCTTGGCTTAGGGGATAGTGACTCCTTAGCGGGCGCCCTCTCTCTCTCTCTCTCTCTTTCCGTCCGCCAAGCATCCAATCTCAACTTTTCTTCTTTAGGCTAAGACTAGTTGAGCGGCTAACCATGGCAAGCCCCTGACTAATTCCGCTAGATAGTTACCTCACTTACTACGTACGTAGTACAAGCTGTAATTACCCTGCATCTTCCCCCAGCTCTCCTCCTCAATCTGGTCTCGATTCGTCCCGGTCCATTGAACTTAATACTACAAGTACATCCACACGAAGGTTAAGTCGAGTGCAGAGCAGCTCCTGTTCTCCTCTTCAAGCCTTCATGGAGGGGACTACCTAGTTTTGATTGGCTGTCTCTCCTCCCGACCTGCTGCGTTGGTCTATCCCCATGGCTTCTAGCACCAAAATTCAAGACCTCGCGACCTTTTTGCTTTATAGTCATCATTCTGTGTGCAGCCGGATGCACTGATGTCAGATAGTGCCCGAATTGGAGAGCAACATAAGAGGTAGGTTTCCTGACTGTCTTTCCTCCCATAAGTTCTTGACTCGCCATCGTTCTGAAAGCCCTTGGTCGTTCACTATTTACTTGGTCATTCCCTAAGTACTGTCGCTCATCCGGTACCCGTGGTGTAACTTTCAAACTGTGGTATCCCTGGATTTGACAGTGGAGCTAATCCCGCCTACTTCTTCAACGGGAGTGGCGCTTTGGGCACATTTGAGACTTGCCAGGCAAGGTGTAAGCAAGATGCCGACACCTGTCTGACCTTCGCATTCGGAAGCGGGCAGTGCCTACTTTACGCTGCAAACGTGTACGTTCTTGGCCCTTCATCCACTTGCTTGGTTGTGATTTCTGACCAAACGACAGCGCTACTATTGTAGTAGCAGTTCCGACAAGTTCTTACACCTTTTTCTCGGTCAACTGCCCAGCTCCTGCTCCAGCTCCCGATCCTCCTGTTGTCAAACGACGAGCTGGAGTTCCCACGCCTCTCGACAGCTATCAACCAGGCGAACGATCCGCTTTCTGCTCTTGCGCAGTTGAAGTGCCCGCTACGTCGAGCGTTACAGTGTCTACCACATCAATTGTGGTGGTAACAAGTTCTCTTACAACGACAGCTACTGTTAGCACTGCATTCGTAACTACTGTCGCTGCCCCAGAGCCTGTCACTGTCACAGCGACCACAACCGCATAGTTTATCAAGGATGATTCGGCCGCAAAGGGTCGAGTTGATGGTCGATGCTGGATGGAAATGGCACTCTGATCAGACAAAAGCTGGAGAGAACAACTGTAAGCAATACCCCTTGAATTTAGGGGTGTTGCTTGGGAGGCATCTTGGCTTTGTGGGCTGATAAATATCTTTACACGAGTATAAAATCTAACGCAGTAAGGCATATCTGCTATATCTAGGGACTTGTGGTCTTGACTTGCCTCCTCTTTAAGTCCAGTTATGAACTTTGAGAGCTATTTCCAGCTTGGCGATTGGTAGAACACCGTTTCGCCTCCCAATGAGAAGCGGTGTGAATATTTCCATCAAAGTAGATACAACCATATCTAGGTGCTTCTGCTGGAGCAAGCAAGACGAAGACTGTTTCTCTGTTTTGTATCGGCCATAGCAGAACCGCGAGTATGCTAACGGACCTTGTGGCCATGACGTATGGACTCAGGGATCTACCAAATTACCAACACCACGCCACATCTTATCTACTAGGGGGGCATGAAGTACTGTTAATTCAGCCCTAGTATTTCTTACTCGAAAACGTCATTTGTACAAGACGGCTTATCCCAGATCAGATTAAAAGGTAAATTTTCCACCCATTCGAGTGGATGTGCTCAAGCTAAGCTTTGCAATACCAAATCACAGCACTATGATGCAAGAATGATAACTAGCCGCTACTAGCACCTGCCTTACAATCCATACTACGTAGTATGCCTCCTCCCGTAGTATACATTTCAGTCCTGCAGTTGACGTTCTTCTTTCCTACGTGTCTATTCTTCCGGCTTGCTTTCCACGACGAGTTTCTTTGTTATTAACTGTATCCCTAAGGGTTCTGTTCTTTCTAGACCGTCCAGTGGGGCCTTGGAACTGTTTCTCATACTCCATAGCTGTAGTACCTGTTGACGGACTTCCGGGGACACCGCCTCGGGGAGCTATTTACGTGTCTTCCCCTTCCGTGTTGCCTACATACTTGGTTGAGCACCTCCTCGGTTGGTCACTCACTAGGCGGTCAACACTGTCTCGCTTGTTTCGTTTGAGCTCATCTTGCAACTTGCTTTCCCACCGGTACGGCGATTGTAGCTCTAAGCTTGAGCACGAAGGATCAGTGATTCGAGCATGGCAGAAACATCTACCGCGGACAATGGTCTGTCACCTCACTCTGGCTCAACGTCAAAGCCGGCCAACAACAGCGGCGATGTCTACGCTTCAACGACGTTTTCCGAACTGTACGAAAACCTCCTCGCCAAATGCCGCACCAACCCGCCCCTACTTCCACCTGTTGCGCCATTTGCCAAAACTACCGCAAGAACAATCCGCGCACCTGAACTCGGCAAAGAGATCGCCAATCTCTCGCTTCATCCTACCCTCGAAGCTGCCCTCCACATTTTGAATCTGGACTTACCTTCCGCCCATTTCCTGCTTCGTCACATGCAGTGTGAGCCGGCGTGGGAGGGCATGTTCCTGCACGGGATCCTGCACCGTGTCGAAGGAGACTACGATAACGCGCGAGCTTGGTACCGGGATGTGAAAGACAGTGAGGTGTTCACGTATGCGTGGGGCAAGTCCTCTGAGTCTGAATCGGAGTCCAGGCCGGCAAAGTCGACGAATGGGATCGACGCAGCTCTGGGCTTGATAGCTGACATTCAGTCCTTGAACGAGACCGGTAAAGGCGACCGAGAGGAACTGGAAAGCAGGAGTCTTGATGAGATTCGAGCTGTTGTCGCATTCTGTGCGAAGAGATTTGGGGTGCAGAGCGTGGCAGATGCGAGAGAAGCCTGGACCAGGAATGAAGGGAAGATTGACGACAAAGCACAAGCCATGGTCGTTGGTGGGGAAGGGTGGAGACATTTTTGAAACACGGCACGCCGTGATTGATCCGATGATTCTCATTATCCGGGTGACAAGCGGCACCTTTCAAGCCGTTATCTGTCAGTGTCAGTGTCAGTGTCAGCGTCAGTATCGGTATCGGTATCATTATCAGAAGACGAGGCGGTGAGATGGCTGTCAACGAATCAGAATCAGAAGCTACTGGGTATATCACCAAAACTATGTGTCGGAACGAGCAGGGCATGTGGCAGATCGAGCCCAAGTTCCACCCGCTCTCGGATTTGTCACTTCACCCGCTTTATAGATGACCCGATAGTGGTATGACAGGGACAAGTAGGGTTGCCTTTTATCTCAACATCTGCGATTGGCGATGCTGCCAAGTGGGGGTGCTGTACAACTGAACGACGGGGAATGGGCACATGAAAGGGCAGATGATGGATGAAGCCTGTGATTTGCACATGGGCATGTGGCTGGAAGGGATGTTGCCTCCGTCCGCAAGTCACGGAGAACACGGTAGCAATGATCGTGCATCTCTGATTCCATTAGCCAGAAGTAGTCCGGTGGAGAGGTATCAGATTGTTGATAAGAGAGGAGATGGAGGAGTCTTGTTTGTGGGCTATGGGCTATGGGCTATGGGCTATGGGCTATGGGCTATGGGCTATGGGCCGTCATGTCCAGCTGTGCAACGTTCCACCAGCAGGACTATCGCCGGACCTGGCATTCGGCTGCCGAACACACAAGTACATGATCTTTCCGTCTTTCCGTCTTCCGTGGGGTCGTAATACAGCAAAGCAGATTGAAGAGATTGACGAGATTGACGAATACGTGCGTCAGGATCTCTTCTGCTTCGCAACTCACAGCAAACAGGCCCATCCATGCATTTAAGTGGATCCCAGCCGTCTCCTGCTTTGTCAGGAATTCCCCCGTCTGCATCAAGCCACACAACCTTATCGGGTGCCACCACTAGAATCTCAAGCCTAACCTCAAGCCTAATCTCAAGCCTAATCTCAAGCCTAATCTCCGGCTGACTACGTATTGCCCGGAATACTACTACCACTATGTACTACGTGTGTACGTACTTCTATGTTACTACTCCGTAGGATGATGACGCCAGATGGCCACCGATCCGTTTCTTCCCCGTCAGGAACAAGCAAACCAGCGACTCTGACAGGCTGACCTGACAGGCCGACCTGACAGGCCGACCTGACTAGCACAAAACCCTCATCAAACCGACCTCACACCGACTTCACACCGACTTCACACCGTGAGACCCGGACTTCAGCCTCAACCGCACTCCAGCCCCTCGCCCCATTCCCATCCCATCCCATCCATCCCATCCCAATCCCAATCCCAATCCCAATCCCAATCCCAATCCCAATCCAATCCCAATCGTGCTTGCCATGTCGGGAAGATTGGGCCACAGATGCCATCGATCTGCATCTCCCAAAAGAAACACGCCCGGGGACCCTCTTTTTAATATTAAAGGCAGTGCTGCATCGTCCATTGAGCCGATTGCAGAACAGCATCCGCCGAGCATGGCTGCCAGTTTCCTGCAGTTCTGCGCCACATGCGAAAAGCAAATCTTTACTCCTAGTAATTCCATCCTCTACTGCAGTGAAGCGTGAGTGTTAAAGTTCTCTCCCAACCACCCAGCCACCTTCCACTTCCTCCTAACCATCTCCACAGTTGCCGTCGCAAAGACTCCTGCAAACCACTCTCTCTCTGCGCCGGTGCAATGACTCCTTCAACCACCCCACCCACATCGACTCCTTCGTCCTCTCCTCGGCCTATCCTTCCAGCTCGTATCCCCACTGGATCCTCCTACACATCGGCCTCCTTCCAGTCCAGATTACCTACAGACCACCACAACGCCAAATCAGATCTCGACCCGACCGAATGGAAGCCCAAAATACCCCGTCGCGGCGTCTCCTCCACCACCACCACCACCACCACCACCACCTCCTCCTCCTCCAATAATTCGGAAGCATTCCGCTACCTCAGCCGCTTCAACCAGTCAACCACAACACCTAATGGAGAAGACATGACTACCGAGCGCATCCAGCGTCCATCGCTGCCCAAGGCCAATAACAATCATCATCACCACAGCACAACCAGCATCACCAGCCTCCTTAATAACAATACCATAACCACCAACGGCAGCACCCCGAGTCTCTCCCAAACCCCCACCACAACCCCATCCAGCCTCAGCACCAGCATCGACTACACAACCACCACTCCGAACTACGACTTCAACACCCGTCCCCTCCCACCGCGTCACGACCCCTCCTACTCGAGCAGCGCCGGTGCGATCAAGGGCGGCTACGACCTCGTCATGCCGTATGTCGCTCCGCCCGCTCCGCCGGTCGTGGCGGGATCGGCGCCCGATCATGTGCATCTGGACGGTGAAGCGTGGGAGAAGCAGACGGTGAGGAAGTTGGCGCCGGCGGCGGGTTCGGAGGGTGAGGTCAGGGAGGGGCTGGGGAAGCTGTTTGGTGGTAGTGGTGGTGCTGGTGCTGGGGATGGAATGGAGAAGATGAACAAGAAGAAGATGGGGGAGATGTGATGGTATTCTTGATTTTGCTGTGATTGTGATTGTGGTTATGGTTATGGTTCGATTATGGTGAGAAGTCGAGTGGAGGTCAGCCTGTCGTCACCTCGTCACCTCGTCACCTCGCGTAGCTGGCTGATGAACCAATCAATCAATCAACCAATCAATCAATCAACCAATCGCTCTGTCTGTCGCTGCTACTGCCCGCTGGCGTGAAGATTCCTATTCACGATTTTTCCAAACCCTGAATCTGCGGTCCTTGATACGGATTGAAGTCCCCATCCCTTCGATTTCTGCATCCCTCTCTCTTTCTCTCCTCCTTCTTCTCTTTCTTCTCCTTCTCCTCTTAACAACAGGAGGCGGTCCCCCTCTTCCCTCATTCCGCTATACATACATACATACATATATATATATATATATATATATACATTCATTTTTATTAACGTGAGGGCTTCTGATCTATAGCGTAATGTCGCATAGCATAGTGTTACAGCAAAAAACAGCTGAGACTAGGCTAGACTAGGCTGAGTATGAGTATTATTTGATACTGAATTTACTGGTATCGATATCCATCTCTCCCTTTCCCTTTCCCAGAACGACCAAGGGCAGCCAAAAGAGCTCTATCGTGAATACAGTGGAGCTGGGCAACGGTAAGATCTCTCACTTTGGTAGTGGATAGGGGGGCTACGTACGACCGACGAAGTGATATTGGACTTTCTACCTTCCCGTGTGGGAGTGGGAAGGGGGGAGTTGCCTTGCCTAAATTACTCCTGTCCTGTCTCGTCTCGTCTCGTCTCATCTCATCTCAAGCTGGGATTATAGATATCGTTCTTTTTTCTTCTTAACTTTTCAAAACCTGTTTTCAGTGAGTGGCCATGGTCACCTCAGCAGCAGATCGCCTACCACAGCTCTGTGATCGGACATGTAGACACCATCATCGAAGCGATTGGGCAGCACGGCGTAGCCGGTGATGTGCCATGGTGAAGCTGCGTCGTCCTCGTCCTCGTTCTCGTTTCGCTTCGCGTTCGCGTTCGCGTTCGCCTCGTCCTGGTCCCGGTCCTCGCTTGTATTCTCGGCCTCCCTTCGATATTGGCGTGTAGGATCCTCATCTCCGTCTGTGTCTCCGTCTCCGTCACTCGAATTGACACTAGTACCAGAGCCGACATCGACATGGATGAAGTCGATCCTCCTACACCTCCCGTCCCCATCTCCGCGTCCATCGAAACCGGTGAATGTCATTTCATGGCCGTACCTGCGTTCCGGTGGGATGGAGGGGCGGATATCGCGGAGCCCGCTGCCGGGCGCGTTGAGGACGGTGTATGCGTCTTCTTCTTCTTTTTCTTCTTCCATGCCACTTCTCCCGCTCTCTTCGGTAGCGGGGGCATCACTGTTCAGATCGCCGCTCAAGACCACAGCGTCGATACCCCCTCGGTCGCGCCATTCGCGCCTCGTTTTCCGTATTTCTCGGAGAATGATCTTGGCGCCCTCGATGCGGCTCCGTCGGCCCTGGTCGTCGAGATGCGTGTTGAGGACCAGTATCCTCCTCCTCCGCTCCCTTTCCCCTTGGCCACTAGCACAAGCACTAGCACTAGCACTCTCACCCCCACCCCGCGCCTCCAACACCACCCCGCCACAGATCCTCACACTGGCTGCATCCCACCCCCTCGACCCCGGCACCCCCGGCGTCGGACTCAACCACACCGTGCGTGC